TGGGACACTGGCCAGGCACTGACAATTAATAAAGATCATCAATCGCCGACAACACCTGACTTTAGCTTTGTGTATGTTCTCATCCTTTCCTTGCAAAGTTATGTTTCAAAGAGCAAAATTTACAAAATAAAATGCATATTAAATGTACGTTGCCTGTTAAGTATGCTGACTTCTTGTCTCTAGAGATGAAGACATTTTTTATTCAGAACTGAGACACTGTGATTAGTCCCTGGCGTCCTAAGAACAGGACTTTCTTTTGTACCCTTTTTCTTTTGAATTTTGATATATGCTCACTCTCCAGCAGATGAGCCAACTGATAGAGCAATTTAATTTATTAGAAACAGTGTATTAGAAACTGACCAAGTGGAAATTCTTTCTCTTTGGAATGGCTTTACAGTTTCATTTTCAGAATTTCTAAATAAAGTTTGCTAATGTGGGATAAAGCAGTATTTCTTTTTTGAACTGTGTCTTTCTGGCTTGTCCAACTTTGAATGCAGCCCATTGTCCTGGCAATAAAGGTGAACAATCTGCCCCAAAATACTGCAGAGCAGAATGCAACATTTGCCAAATTAATAGTAGTAGTAAATACATAAATTAAGGGCTTTTGAACATTTATAAATGCCAGGAACTTTATGTTTTCTCTTTTAAGTTCACAACTCTTTTATAATTAGCCTGTTTTTATAGAAAAAGTCAGCCTCAGAGAGCCTAGTGTGTTTAAAGTCCCACAACCCAAAAAAGGCAGACTTCAGCCCCCTGGTCTTGTTTATCCCTGAAGCCTGCTCCTAAATGGTATGCACATCCACTTAGCACAGAATCCTTGCACACCCAGCAGGGGAAGGCCTGCATAGAGGAGGTGGCCCTAGGCAGGCACTGCAGTGACTGAAACGCCTTCTGCTGGGTATGGAGACAGGCGCTGCAGAGTCAGGAGCAGGCTATCATGGGCCGCCACCAGCCTCCCCTCATTATGCCCTATCTGCAGCCTCTTGCCTGGGGCTGGCTTCACAGAGGGTCCTGGCTGGTGCCGAGGGGAATGGGGCCTGCTTCTGAATGAGGGAAATGAGTGCAGGGCCAAGGGCCTAGGGTACAGGCCATAAACACTAGTTTTTCTGAACCTCCTTTTAACCTTCCTTCCCTTGCATATGAAAATACGAGAATGACAAAAGCAATGGGAGGAGTTCTAGGCACATCAACTTTTCTACAAACCTGAGGACCTTCATAGTTGAAGCCTAGAACTGTGGACTCATTATTTAACTTTACAAGTAACTCGTACAATGAACAGGACTTGCTTGCTTATAATAATAAGTCTTAGGGTGGAATGATCTATAGACTAATTCTTAGCTACTTTTGAAAGTAGAATTAACACAAGTTAAAAAGTTTATATAAAAGAGCATCAAAAAATGCTGAAAACTTGAAAACTGTGTCATGATTAGTAGATGAAAGCAAAATAGCAAGGCTGAGGATCCAAATGTTGTTCAGATTCCTTGTACTTTTTAGAGAAAGGAAAAACAAGAGGTTAAGAATCTCTGGAATTTGAGTTACATATTTTTGACTAACTACTGGAGACAGGAGAAAGCAATGCGAAATGAAGAATATCAAAATAAAATACAGTGAGAGAGGAGAAAAGAAAGAAGGAAAAAGAGAGAGATGTAAAAGAAAATAAAGGAAGAAGGGAAGGAAGGAAGGAAGGAAGGGACTTAACTGTTTTTAAGGTCCAAACTATGCCTAACACTCTTTTTGCAATCCTCACACTTCAGTCAAAGTAATTTGCAAATTACAAATGAAGAAACAGTCAACTCTTCCTCTCAGCATCATTTAGATTGATAATAAACTCTCGGTATTTGGGAAAAAAGCCTTGATGGTTGCTCTAGAATTATCTTTTATCCAACAGAAGAAAATCAGCGATATCAACCAACTATCTTACACACTAAAACCAGTTCTTTAATCACATTTCAAGGACACTGGTTTGATTAATCATCTTGCTACAGGTTCTGTATAATTTGTCAGCTAAACGATTTAAATGCCTTGAGTAACACTTGTTCCCATTTGCTTTGACTAGTCCTGTGTCCTTTGTACACATTAAAACAAAAATAAAAAGGTACACTACACAGCATGATATTAAGATATTTATTAGAAAAGCATTTAGAACTATAACAGTATGACTGCTGCCACAGAAATCTAGGGATTCTAGATAACTGCACATAATTCTTTCATTAAAATACTCTTCACGGCCTCCATAGGTAACTTCCTTTCCTAGCTACCCAGTGTATACAAAGCGTAGCAGTAAGACATCTCCTGGATATCTCAGAAGAGCAGACTAAATGGTATACCAGGATGATGTCAATCTGTGTTAAAATGTTTGCAAGAAAGGTTATGAATAAATGAGCAATTATTGGGAGGGGGCGGGGTGCGATTACAACAGGGTCATAAGGTAATGCTGGGGTATTGTTCTTCTCTTTATGTACGAGGATTCCAAGGGAATCCAGTAAAAGGTAATAAGACGAAGACAGATGGATCTGGCAGAACCTTGGCAGCTGTCAATAGAAAACAGAGATCAGTACCTTCCACTCCTTACAAGGTTTTTCTAGAAACTGACAGCAGAAAATTAAAATCCTGTCAGGGGCCAACTAAAGATGTGCCCTGTATTGCTTGCATAATATTCAGTTGGATGTGAACAGATTTTTAATTTCATATCCTAATTAACGCTGATAGAGAGCAATTTCAAAAATGTCTCACAAGGATGAACCAGGTCCACTCAGTCAGCTCTCGAAATTGGCCGGGAAGCCCCGCGCAGCCTTCGCCTTCCCGGTGGCCTCCTGTTTTCCTTCCTCATCACACCCTGCCCCATGCCGGCTGGCTGACGAGACTGTGGTTCCTCTGCCTTCTGAACACATCACCGGCTCAAGTCTGTAACTATGTGTATCAGCGGTTTGAGGAGCCATCTCGTGTGCCCACGTTGCTAGTTGGGAATATATTTTAGAAATCTTTGAAAGTTGAAATTTGCATGAAATCTACCTTATGCAAATATCCCAATATGAAAAATTTCTCACTAGAAATATCTTTGGCTCCATTATCAAAAGGTTGGTTGTGAGATATCTCCTCCCACAGGTAAAGAAAAGATATGTGTACCAAAGTTCCATATAGGTCACTAATCTTATGCTATAATTTTTTTTGTTTCAGTTTGTAACACTCTTCCTTTTCTTCCATTTGGGTGAAGAATTGACTCATTGGAAAAGACCCTGATGCTGGGAAACATTGAAGGCGGAGGAGAAGGTTGGATGAGGATGAGATGGTTGGATAGCATCACTGACTCGATGAACTATGTTTGGGTAAGCTCTGGGAGTCGCTGATGGACAGGGAAGCCTGGCGTGCTGTAGTCCATGGGGTCACAAAGAGTCAGACATGACTGGGTGACTGAACTGAACTGAACTGATATTTATTATTCACTTAGCATATTATAAATGAGTATGCTGTGTAGACATACCCAGAAAAATGTTTTATTATCACAAATTGAAATGACAAAATTAGTCTTCCCAAAATAGCTCTTTGGTATATTTTCACTTTTTCTTTTATAGCCTATAGCTAATTTATTGGTAAATATAATATATTTGTATATACTACAGATCATTAAAATAAAAACAACTTTTACAAACAACACCAAAATCATACTATTTGTAAAATATATCCTTATAAATATTTCTTGCATGTAGATTTTCTAATCACAACCTGTGAAGATTCCATAAATCTTAAAACCAGTAAAATATACAATATTCTGTATTTTTTCTGTAACCCTTTTCTTATTTTCTTTTTTCTACAGTTATCTAAAATTTACTCAAGTGCATAACATATATAGACATACAACTCCTAGAATAAAATATATGTACAAAACATGGGCTCCTTGAGGAAAGAAACCATAATTTTTGTATATCAATCATGGTACCTAACACAATCCTTAGCAGAGAACATCATTTCATAAACTGTTAAGAGTGTAGATGGATGAATGAAAAAAATGAAGGTTGCTGACTGTGCTAAACAGAGTAAAAAGGGAAAAGCCATTTTTATAACATCCCTATTGCTAGAAATTTTATTAGTTCAAATGCTTGGCTTGAAAATTGAGGATAACCATTTGACTGACAGAACAAAAAGAAAAAACCCAAAGTTGGGTTCAAGCAAATTCAATGACCAATAAACTCAACTGCAGTAGATACTGAAAACTTCATCATGCCTTTCATGTAGAAATGGAAAGATCTCTTCATGGAATGAAAGGAAAAACTGCCTGGAAAATCTCCAGTTTGGTGTCACTGTATCAGCATACAGCTATTTAGAACTAATCACTAAGCCCCTTCCGAGCGTCAGCATCATGCTGTATTACAGGATATCGCCCACTAATGAAAGCAGCGGGCCTTGCCCTCTCAAAGACTACAAAAAGATACATGAGCTGCCCCTGTTATATGAAATAAGCAAAAGAACAGCTTAGAAAACCAGAGGAGACCAAATTCAATTTGTAAATTATATTAGTAGGAATTTGAAGGGAAATGACAATTTAATTCTAAATTGAACATTTCTAAAATGAACACAACTTGGTGAACATTTCTCTCAGAATCTAAGTTGGTTTCCGGGAAATAATAATGAGAAGTAACAGACAGCCTGCTCAAAAGCAGGTAACAAAAGTCAAATTATTATTTTACAGTCTAAGTACTTTAAAAATAGTTTTGCATTATTCAGGATAAAAACCATCGAGAAATATTTGATATGGCATTTGCATTATGTGAATATTCATTTTCAAAATACTACATATGAACTTTTCTGTCCTTTCTCTGCACTTATTTTTATAATGATGTCCCCAAGGCAGGTGATACATTCCCCCAGACAAGTGCTAAACTCTTTGAACTACAAGTTTCCTTAGAAAAATTATCTTAGAAATCTGGGGGCTTAATTTTGTGTATGGTTTTAATTTGTTAAACTAACTAGAAATAAAGTTACCTCCAAATAACAAATTTAGCAAGCCTGTAATCAGAGTCCCTTAGACAGCAAGGATATCCAACCACAAACTCTGGGAAATAGTGAAGGACAGGAAGGTCTGGCCGGCTGCAGTCCATGGGGTCGCAGAGAGTCAGACATGACTTAGTGACTAAATGACAAACAACGAGGGCCATTATATACTAGGCACTTTCATCTGCAATACTTTAACCCCTACAATAAATACGGCAGACTCCAGGGGGCAGCTCCTTGCCCAAGTCCAATGCTGGTCAAAACGGCAGAGCCCGACCCAAATACTAGCCCCCATGTGAGGGCTCTTCTCGTGTATCATGGACTGATTCTGTAATTCAGCTCGGCCAGAGGGTTCTGGGACAGAAAACCAAACTTCCTAAATCTCCAGCACAGCGTCCCCTGCATCAGTGCACTCTGACTACACCGCCACAGTCTCTGTCATCATAGAGACCTTTCTGGAAGCTTACAATTTGGGTCCTAACAGCTGAGGTTTTCTAATGGCTGCTTGAGGGAAGGTGGTTTGAAGTTCCTTGTATATTCTCTAAAGCAACGGTAATGTTGGGAATAATGTACACATGGAATTGATCGTTATCAATTTCTGTGGTCTGTGGTACAATAGGATTTGAAATAGGTAAGACAATTTGGAGTACAGGGAAAGAATTTGATGGGAATGGCCAGAGAAGAGTGCAAGTGCTTGATGTTTCAAGCCTTGTTGCCTTGCCAATCAGTGGTGAAGGATGGCACTCTGTTTCAACTGACTGTAACAATTCACCAGAGCGAAATATTTCAAGTACATCACAGTTGTGCCTCAAACTGAAAAGAGATCCCAGGGCACTTCGTCTTTGGTCCTAGCAGAGAGGGAGACAGAGTTATGGGTACCAGATAGAAACACCTGCAATGTGATGGTCTGTGTAAGCATGACTAACGTTTGCTTCATTTTTTTCCTCACCAAACCTAAACTTCTCTTTGAAAGTGCAAGTCACTCAGTCATGTCCAACTACTATACAGTCCATGGAGTTCTCCAGGACAGAACACTGGAGTGGGGAGCCTTTCCCTTCTCCAGGGAGCTTCCCAACCCAGGGATTGAACCCAGGTCTCTCGCATCGCAGGTGGATTCTTTACCAGCTGAGCCACAGGGGAAGCCCAAGAACACTGGAGTGGGGAGCCTATCCCTTCTCCAGCAGATGTTCCTGACTCAGGGATCGACTGGGGTCTCCTGCAGTGCAGGCGGATTCTTCACCAACTGAGCCACCAGGGAACTACCTCTGCCATTCATTTTGTGAGTCTTGCAGGGGAACGTCATTGCTTCTCTCATGCGTGCCTGCACTACACAGCTCATGAATGCACCACCGTAAGGATCAACTAGACTGGTCCAGTAACTCTGGTTCTGTTTTCTGAGCGACAGTGGCGACACATGAACAGTACCTAGGTGGAAGCATCTGAGCAGGAAATAAACTGCTTTGAGGAAGGTTCACCCACCCATTTATCTTTTAGACACCATGTAACAGAGCTTACTAATATTGAGCCATGGTCTTTCTTGGCTTTGCAAGCTCACTTTAGAGGTGGTTAAAATTTTTGAAACCCAGAATGGCACTAAGCTTTCCTAAATTGATTGGGTTTTGTTACCCAGGCCACAGCCCTTTGATCTCCTTTACTTTAAATATAGAGAAGTTACTCTAGGTGCATGTCTAGGGTTATAGATGCCAACGAAAACCTGAAAGATTTCAAGAGCCACTGACCTGAGCAAAGTGAGCAGACAAGTTGCCTATACTAAGTAATGGGATCTGCTTTAGATTTTCCAGAGTTGGCTTCTCTGTAAAGTAAATCTAGTATACACACTATAGTGAACACCTTACTCCTGAATCACTGATTCAGATATAGGGTGATAAGCAGTATTTTCCTCTCCTGCCATTATTGTCAAGTGAGCTGGTTCGCTCTCCTCGGCTCCAATCTCAGTGAATTGCCAAAGTGAAACAGCTGGGAGCCTCACTGACTTTTCCTGCATCACAGTGACACACCAAGTCCCGCCCACCCCCAGCCCACCCTGTCGCAGTTGTACCCTTCCCTCTCTTTCCCTCTTCTGTCTGGACTGCTCCTTAGTCAACCATGTTAAAACGCATTCAGCATCAGTTAAGCCCAAAACACCTCTCCAGTGCTGGGAGGAAGGAGAAACAAAGATCTGCGAGTTTTGTTCTCATTGTTTTCCACTCCCTGTCCTTCATATGAAGCTGTTTTCTTTCTCTGGGAAGCCTTCTCCAGCCCCAGTCCCAGCGTAAACCCATTTAGTACCCTCCTGTGCACAGCCGTCAGCATCCACGGTGGGCTGAGCCCCACTAGCAGGCGAGCTGCCCGAAGAAAGGGGCCATCGGCCTCAGCCCACGGCAGAGCCCACCGCGCGGGGGCACTCGGTGGGCCTGGGGTCCAACTGGACAGACTCTTCTGCCACCAGGGCAGGACGCTGAGGCACCGCTGTGCCGTCTCAGGGCGACGTCACTTTGAATGGCTATACATGTTGGTTATTCTAAAGATGACAATATACGTTTATTAACATTTCAAACATTACATTTACAAAGGAAAATCGAGGCATAACAAACTGTATCACTGTGTTCAATTAGTTGGTGAAAAAGTGCATGTAGGGTTTACTGCCTTGAACAAGAAATAAACAGAAACTAAGATATTTACTTGTCAATATAAAAAAATATGATATTGTGCCTTATATAATCAATCTTTTGCTTCAAATTATGTTTTAAAAGACCTAAGGAATTAAGTACAGTTCCATGGAAGAGTAACACTTATATCATAATTTATGTACCATAAAAAATAAATTTTAATGTACTTACATTTAAATAACTTAAATCATGGACCATATCACTGACTTGTTGGGTGACCCTAGACAACTGACATTAAATAATTATCCTTGAGTCAGGCAGCTGAAAACAGCAACTGAAATATATTTAGACAGGTGTAATTATCCTTGGTCTTTGTTTTTATGGGTTCAATTGTGTAACATCTGAGATAGCATTAACTACATCAGACTGTAAGTAAATGCCACAGGTCACTGCCCCATTTTTTTCAATGACTTCTAAGAGCTTACTTACATAAGATATGCAGTCTTCTTAAATGTGCATCTATCACCACCAATTATTCCCCCAAGCGAGTTGACGCCCATCAGAGTCATCAGCATGGGCAGTTTCAACCATGTGTCCCTTTACACTGTTTCTTTCACCTCTGTGCTCTATCCATATTTTAGGATGTCCAAGATACGTTTATTTCTTTATAAGTATAAAACACACACATTTATTCTCCATCCTCACAGGGGTTCTTTTATTCTTACAGAGAGAAGAGAGAAGGTTGGGAAAAGTTTTAATAGGCTACAGAGTCTATCCACTTTCCTCTGACCCTTTATTTCCATGCAGGGGAAAAAAAACGCATGGTTTCTAAAATTTCTAAATGACAATCCATGAGTAAGTACACATTTAGTTGAGAATGGAACACTATTTAATCCTCTGTGCAACTAACACCCCAGATGAGTGATCACAGGAGCAAACTGATATACAAATGAAGCATGTATTATCGTCTTAGAAGCCCTGGATAAACATTCTGGAAATATCTTAGTGAACTGGTAACAACTCTTAGCTCCAGTATGACAGCGTGGACTTTCAGTTTAACTACAGTCTGCGGCTTCTTCAGGCCCAGCTCCCTGACAAGGAGAGGACATCAGATCATGCTCCAAAGGGGTCAGTTCAAACACGTGCAGGTTTAAAATAATACGGTGATATGACCGTATGTGAAACAGATCACTACTCCAAGTTCAATGCATGAAACAAGGCACTCAAAGCCAGTGCTGGGTGCGACCCTGGGACGCACCCTGGGGGGTGAGACGGGGAGGGAGGGAGGTGGAAGCGGGGTTCAGGATGGGGGACACATGTACACCCATGGCTAATTCATGTCAATGTATGGCAAAAACCACTACAATATTGTGATGTAATTAGTCTCCAATTGAAGTAAATAATTTAAAAAATTAAATAATACAGTGAAAAGGGATTGACTGTCTTAAAATATATTTTTACTGTTATTCAATGTTATAGATTTTGTAGAATTATAGAGAAAGAAACATGGAGAAATCTTCAAAAAGCTCACCCATTTTGTAACAACTGCAGACTGCAAGTATTCTGAACTAAGCATACAAACCGGAAAGTGACCTACAGACAAAAGGACGGGACATGCATTTGTGCAGAGATGACCTAGTTTCTGAGACTAAATATTCTGCTGTGCTCCAGGTTCTCTTACTGACAGCTTTAAAATTCTCTATGCCTTTGTTTTATTTTACTTTACTTTATTTCCTTAATGCAATCACTGATGATGTGGTTTTATACTGACCTTTTTTATTTAAGGGACATAAAATAGAATATATTGTGTGACTATATGTAAAAATGTTAAAACACTCTAGATAAAATTAAAGAAATTACCTCAGAAGAGAACCATAAAAATTGAAGAAATTATCTCAGAAGAGAACCATAAAAAAGGAATGAATCTTGATGCACACTACTTTAAAGAAAAGTCAATCATGTATTGATTGTGTTCATCTCTTAATATCATCTCATAAAATTTCTACATAAAATATAAAATGGTATGAGTTTTATAAAGCAATGAATTGTTCATTTATCATTAAACATGGTATCATATCAGAAAAGCAAAAATGTCTTTATGAGGGGCTGATTATCAAGTATATCAAGTGATGAAAAAATAAAAATTCACTTAGAGAACATTTCTTATAAAAGTCATTTCTTAATCTCTGACCGGCAGTTCTGATAGTTTCCAATGACACTGAAAGGTCTGCATTTTCTTTTCTGTATATGTCTCCAACCAACTACAAGTAATTGAAAACAAAGACTTTTTAACCCTAAGAGTTTAAATGTAAGAAATCAATAACTTGTGCTTAAAAGCACCTGACTCACGTGTTTCCTTTCTTTCAAAATCATTCTTACAAATTGCATTACTTTGCTAGTAGACATTCTAAATTCTTTCTCAAAATTAAAATAATTTTGGGCAAGTGATCCTTTTTTTCCGTTTTGCTGAATTCTAACG